GTCACGGAATTTTGAGACCTATTAAAACAAAGTTTAATGCGAAAAAAAAAAAAATAGCACTCTCAGTTTGAAAAGTATGTTGATTTTTTTTTTTTTAAAGAAGATGATAGCTACTCTTGATTTTGAGATTTATTTTTTAATTCAGTTTTATTCTTGTGGAGCTGGGACGTGAACCCAGATTCTGTGCATGCAAGGTGGGAACTCAGCCACAGAGCCACATCACTAGCTCTGAAAGAGTGGCTTATAATGTATCGCTGTGACAAAAACCTCTTGGCCAGGAGTTTAGAGAAAGGATTTTGTTATTGTCTACTCTTTGTGATTTTCACAATTAAGGAACTATGTAACTTTTCCCAGAATAACCTATTAGTCAGTATCATTAGATTTCTTTTTATATTAACATTGGGGGTCAGGGAGATAGCTCAGTAGAATAAGTGCCTGCCTGGCAAGCTTAAGGTCCTGAGTTCAATCCCTGGTACCACACAAAAAAAAAAAAAAAAAAAGAAAGAAAGAAAAAGAAAAAATCCCCCCAAAACACATTGAGGACATTGAGTGGTGTCTTCAGAACCACTTCCTTTGAGTTGGTGTCTGTCTGGCTCCTCTGTGCACTACTGAGAGGCTGTGGGTATCTGTCTGTGACCTCCCCTGAACCCCAGCGATCAAGTGGGGGACTGGCCTGGCTGGGCCTGGTGAAACATACTCGTTGGGCCTGGGCGCTGACTTGGTTGCTGACTGAGAAGGCCCCAACCAGGTTCGTCCCCGTGCTTCACCCCCTGGCCTCCCCTTTCCCACAGCAGAAGCAGGGCCATGGCCAGGGTGCTTGAGTAACCCCACCCCACACCGTGGCTTCTGGAGTGGAGTTTGTACACTGTATGTGTCCCTAAAGCCGGCCACAGAACTGTGTGGAGAAAATCTTAGGCCTTGTATGTGCCTTACAGTGAGGATTCCTAAAGTGCTCTGTCTTCGTATGTCAGTGAATGGTCCATATGTGCTGGAAATTGTGAAATGCTAAGCACAGTGGGTGCTGTATGGAAGCATTTGAGAGCAGGCAGGACTCCAGTGGAGCTGCAGGAATGTCTGTCGCGGTGCCTGCAGTCCCTCCACACTTGGAGCTTGGAGATGCGGAGTCTGTGTGCAGGTGTGCACTTGTGCTGTAGCAGACGGCCCTCAGCTCTTGCCAGCCTGTGCATGGCTCTGTGGCTCTGAGGACAGTGAACTGTGGGGTCTCTGGGGCCCCCTGATTGTTCCAGTAGGGTTGTGACTTGTTTGCAAAGCTCAGTTAAATGCAGCTTTACTTGAATAGTGAAGTGTACACGTGGCAAAGGCTGGGCAGGCTCCCAGCCGAGAACCTGCAGTCAGGATTGGTGCCGTCGTCTTCAAGTGATGAGCAGGTGCTGTATGCTCTGCTGGCGTCTGAGTTTTATCCTTTCTTTTCTTTCTTTCTTTCTTTCTTTCTTTCTTTCTTTCTTTCTTTCTTTCTTTCTTTTTTGCTGGCTCAGGCTGTCTTAAGGGTGGGTCTGGTAAGGCTGGCTCAGACTGTCTTAAGGGTGGGTCTGGTAAGGCATGTGGAGCTGGGATCGAACCACAATATCCTGCACCTGACTATGTTTGCATGGGCTGGTGCTTAAACAACTGAGCTAACTGGAAGGCCCCCCATCCTTTCTTAAAAGGCATTTTATTTTACATTTTCAACACTTTTTTGTTATTAAAAATATTTGGAGGCTGTCCTCAAGTTCACCTGTATGAATCTCCAGTTGGAGGGACTATGGTGTGTTTACCCCACAGTCTGCACAGGGTGGCCCCCACTGTGTATGACGGTGGTGGAGGCCTGCAGCGCACACGCGCACACATGCGTGTGTGTGTGTGTGTGTGTGTGTACACGCGCGTGTGCCCAGGGTGGAGCTGAGCGTCAAGGTCAGGCCAGCAGAAGCCATGACTCAGGCGACGTCAGCCAGGCTGCAGGGGTGCTCAGTGCCCTGCCGCAGTCCTCGGTGCACACTGGAGTTGAGCTTGGTGCGTTCCTCCGGGACTCTTGCCCCCGCTCACTGGACCTCCCGAGCACTAGGGTTTATTTCCCCATTAGTGGTTAGGAAGGTCTTCTCTCTTACCTGTTCTTTCCAGTGAGGATTGGACCTGCAGCACATGTTCACTAAATAGAACAACTATTTTATTGAAACTTTTTAAATAAAGATTTTAAAAATGTGTGTTCAGGTGAGTTGAAATAATTGAACTGCATGCATAGTGTAATCCCGTGCATTTCCTGCTGCCCTTTTACTTTACAAGCCTGTAAATTCAAGTTAGCAGTGTTTTGCATGGAAAGAAATTATAATTCTTTACCTTGTGTAGTAAATGTGGAGAATCCATTCAGAGCTGCTCTGGGGCCTTGGGGTCATGAGCAGGACAAAGTCATCACTCTCACTAACTTATGGGGAAAGTGAGCAATAAGTAAGTCACAAAGGAACCAGGAATGTGTGCTGTGCAGAAACCTACCCAGGAGCCAAGACCCTGGTGGCCACAGCGGTCTGCGGAAGGGGACTCAGCACTCCTCTCTAGGTGACTGGTAGGTGGCTGTGCAATGGAGAAGCGTGGGCTCAGGCAGCCACCTTGTCAGAACTCTGGTTTCCTGTGACCAGTTGCAGCTGCCTTGCTGTGGTGGGCACAGTCATCTACCCTCCCAGTGACAACCGACTGGGGACCTGCGGTCACTTGCACATAGGTGAAGTGGGTCAGTGCTGGCTGGAGGCGGCCACTCCATAGCAGTGACACGTAAACTGGGATGGGGCTTTAGAGCATCCAGGAGCAGAGTTGAGGAAGCCTGCAGGATTTGATCGGATGAGTACTTCATTGTGTAACAAACTGATTTTACTAAGGGCTCTATTATTTTTCTTTAACAGGAATCACTAGGTTTGACCTACTTGGAGACTTTGGAAGGTTTAATTGGCTGGGCAATTTCTACATTGTCCTGTCCTACAATTTACTCTTTGCCATTGTGACAACATTGTGTCTGGTCAGAAAATTCACCTCTGCTGTTCGAGAAGAACTTTTCAAGGCCCTAGGTAATCTTGAGGGTTATGGGTATTTCTTTCTCTTTCTGCTAATTAATGACTGTGCATTATACTTTTGACTAACCATAAGTTCATTCAGTTTCTGAGTGTATACAGCCTTCGAAGTCAAATTCTTTTATTTATTTATTTTTTGCGGTACCGAGGATTGAACTCGGGACCCTGCGCTTGCCAGGTCCTCATGTAGTCATGTCATTGAGTGCATTAAAACTGTAGGCTGTGTGTGCATTTTCCATGCTTACTTCCACATGAACACTAAACCATCAGGCTTCATACCTTAAGGTTAGCAGGACAATACAAGCTGTCTTGGGGTTGGGTTTGTAATTTATCATAAAAGAAGGGCAGTCAGTGATTTATTATAGAAAATCTTGACATGGACTCATTTACCTGAGTGACACAGTTTAAGTGCTTATAATGTCCTTGTGGTTTTAGCTGTTTCAAAAGACAACTTATTGACTGGCTCATTAAGGGTCAGCATTCAGATAGCGTAAACCGTGCGAGCAATAATCAGGCTCCTCACGCTCCCCCCTTCCCAGCCTGGGCGGTCGGAAGTGTGATGATTGCGAAGGAAAAAAGACTCCCGGCTGTCAGCTCGGGCTGTGTGTGTGCTACCGTGACTGCCCTGTGAGAGGTGGCTGATTGCAGTATTGTCCTGAAACGGAAAAGCCACCTCTCCCTTCAACCAGAGCCCTGGATAGATTTCATAAATTTTAATGCCTAGCTTTTATAATGCTGGCCGTGTGCAAAGCTTCAGGATGAAGTGGAACTCAAGCAGTGCTCTTGTCAGATATCTAGAATTAAGCCTTCATTTTCGAGGCCGTTGTGTTACTGGCAAGACTCAGCATCCAGCACGTCAGACGTGCCCTTCCATTCCCTGGCACGGTCGGTCGCAGTGAACTCCACTTGGCCAGCGTTTGCATCAGCTGGCCTGGGCTCATGCGGCAGCAAGCAGTATTAAAGCGGGGAAAGGGGCCCAGGGCAGGCGGAGCTCCGTGTGCTGGCTCAGCCCTTTGACTGCAGAGACTCTGAGCGTCCCTTTCCTTTCCGAGTGTTTTCCACTGTCTGCTGGGATGCTCTGCTGGGAGCAACTTAGGCATTGAACAAGTTCCTTTTTAAGTATTTGCAGTGTTTGAATGATTAGAGATCTTAAGTATGACTTCACAGAGAGCTGTAGTTTGATTCAGTAGCTCAGGCTCACCTTGAACTCACTTTGTAGCCAAACTCATAGTGATCCTCCTGTCTCAACCTGCCAAGTGTTGGGATTACAGGTGTGTGCTACGTTCTTTCTTTATTCTCTTTTTATCGGGAGCCTGGGCCTAGCTCAGTCATTTAAGTGGCTGCTTCCACAAAGCTGTCAGCCTCAGGTGGCTGGAGTTCGAACCTCACAACTCTCCTGCTGGCCAACGTGCCCTGAAGGCATGCGAGGACAAAAAAAAAAAAAAAAAAAAAAAATCCTTATTCTCTTTTTATCTCCGCCCCCTTCCCTTCTCCCTCTCCTCCCTCCCGCCCCCTCTCTTCTCCCTTCCCTTCCCTCCTTCTCCCCTCCCCTCCCCTGTGGTGTCTTGCCTCACCTTTCTTCTCTCTCCCCTTCCTTCCTGTGTAGTCTCCCTTACCCCATGCCCACTGCTGCTATGTCCTATGACTAGCAGTGTCCAGGGCACTGCGCCTCCAGAACATAACGTCCATGACAGTAGTGATGGTGAGCTGTCCCTGGAGGCCTCTGCAGAAGAGAGACATTGCAGTATTTTAGAATGGATTGTTTAGACTGCACCCAAGTGTCAGAAGTGAACCCAGTCTGTGTTCTGTTTTAAAAACAGAATTCCATTTCAGTTCATCCACCAGCTACCTCCTTGACAAGCTTGGCTTTAACTGTTCATGATGGGGTTGTAATTTGCATGTTTCGTTACTGGGCAGCTTGAGCCACTTGTGCACTCAGGACTGTCCCATGCACGGTTGGATCACTTGTACCACCACCATATAAGCTGATAGCCGTGCGCGTCCGGCGGTGGGGCCGCCAGTGGGAACGTGCTCTGCTATTTCCCGCCTTCTGACAACAGACCACTCTCTGGTCCATTAGTGGTTTGGGCATCCCTGGGACCAGAACCGTTTTTGTTGTTTTGGGACTTTTTTCCTTTCCCAAATTCCATAGAAAGACTTGACTTTTTCTGTCATTAAGACATGCAGGTGCGGGCGCCCCTAAGTCTGGAGCGCTGTGTTGGCTTAAGAGCGATAGGAAGGAGGCGGCTGGGAGGATGACCACCTGGCAGGGGCAGCCCTTGCAGTGTAGGTTTTGAGGTTTCAACATGGTCCGCGCCCCGTGGGAGTTACTTCCTCAGAATCTTCCCATTGATGTGCTGCTTCGTGCTTGTTTGTCCCAGTAAGTTCTTTCCTGTGAAAGTGCCTGGAGCTGTGGTGGCGCCCAGTGCTCTGCCTCCCATCCTGGGAGGGCGCAGTGCCATTCCAAGGCACACATGGGACCGCAGAGTGCTGTGTTGTGAGTGCTGTGTGATGGGGTCATGCCACAGAGGAAGGCAGTGGTGCCTTGTGTTCTCTAAGTGACTTGGGGTTCTGAAGTGTTTTTGTATTCAGTTTGTTTCTTTGCCATTTCTTTCTCTTTTTTGGTATTTTTTTCCCATTGCTTTTTAAAAAATTGCATCTCAATATTTTGGTGTCCTTGCTTACGTTTGCCTGCATGTGCATGTGCATATGTGTATGTGTCTTTTAAACAAAAATGAGACCGTATGCGCTGCAGGCTCAGGTTCAGGTCCCTGGGGTGTGCGCTTGGGGTGGGAAGGCATTTGCCAAGAGCAGCCTTGTTGGAGCAGGGGGAGTGGAAGGAGGGACTCGCAAGAAGAGGGCTGCACTTCGCACCCCAGTGGCCCTGTGGGTGGTGACCATGCCGACCCTCAGAGTTCTGCTGAGCTGAGAAGAGCCCCATGCGACATGTCTGCCAGATCATGGAGGCAGGCTGTCCTTGGTGGGCCACAGTGACTGCCCAGCTGCCCCTTTCCACTCAGGCCGTCTGCAGAGGAGCTGCCAGAGGGGAGAAGAAATCTTTGCTTCCCAGATTGCATTTGGCCTGACCACCGCAGCTCCCGCAGTGCACCTGCACATTTTGCGTGCCAGTCTCTCCTCAGCACCTAGCCCCTCCCTGGACACTGCTGCTTACTGTTGCCTTCATTTTCCCACAGGGCTGCATAAACTCCACTCATCCAACCCTTCAAGGGACTCAGAAGCACCCAAGCCATCTGCAAATGGGCATCAGAAAGCACTGTGAGACCCACGGTGGGCACGCATTCTGCAAGCAAGAGCCTGAGCAGTCCGAGCTCGTGACATTCCTGCCTGCCAGCCCTAGGGTGTCTTCACGCCGACCTCAGTGCACGTGTAGGGCCCAGGCTAGCAGTGTCTTTTGTCGTAGTCTAAGAGCCTAGCTATTGCTGGTCTTGCTTTATAAATTCAGCTTTCTGGTAAGCTTGGTGGCTTCCAGCTCAGCACAGCTCCCTGCAGACGTGCAGGAGGACACTCACTGTGGCTCTTGGCAGAGGCTGTCCTGGTGTGAAGCTGTCGGAAACACAGACTGCAGCTCTGGCCGATGCACTCTGCTCCCACTACGGGTTAACTTGGCGTGAGACGCTGGCCTGAAAGAGCCCTGTGCTGGGGAGGCTCACGGCCTGTGGAGACAACTGCTTGTAGAGGCCGCTACTGCCGCAGCCACGTGGAAACTACTGGAATTGGAAATTTCTTTTTATTTCCTTAAAAAAAGCATAGTTTCCAATTTAGGTTACAGACTTTTCACTAGACTTTGAGCCAAGGAAAAATGTTAAATTCTTTTAACCCCTGAGCCTCAGCAGCAAGCCATAGGAGCATCTTCTGGGCTCATTACAGGACATGCTGGAGAGTGTGTGTCCTCGTGGCCGGGGGCCAGTGGACCTGTGTGTGGCTCAGTATACCTCTCGGAACACAGTTGCCAGTGTTGAGCACACTTGGAACTTAACTTTTGCCTTATAGGCTATATGTACATTCACTTTTTTTAAAGCATTCTTTTTCAAAAATCACTTAATTTCCTCTGCGTCTATGGTGTTTATGAGAAATGTCTGTGCTGAATGATAGAAACCCTTCTTTCCTCATTTTCTTCAGGCTTTGGTTACTTTTGTATACACCAAATTAAGCCTTCCATTTATGAAGTTACCAGCTCAACACCCAGCGCTTACAGAGGCGGCATTCTTGATGTGAGAATAGGTTTACACTGCAACATACTCTGATAATCATTCAGCAGTTACATTGTAAATACTCACCCTGATGGTTTCTTCACTCCAAAGTCCACTGATGGAAAGCCATTACCATGTGCTCTGCATTTTCACCCACTCAGATAGGATCCCGAGTGCTGTGCATGCAAAAAGACTAGGCCAGCCCCTCGCACAGTTTGTAGCCATGTGGTCAGTTCCCATGCACCATGTGTATGGCCATTTGTTGTCTGTGTTCAGACAGAAGTAAAGCAACGTTTTTCTCAAATTGTTGAGTTTGAAGGGTTTTTTTTTTTGGGGGGGGGAGAAATTTATGAAAAATACAGGCTGTATCTACTGACATAAAAGATTTCCATATAGAACCAAACAATAAGAAAATTTAATCTGTACTGTGTATTTATAGATTCCAGTGAATGTACTGCTCGCTTATACTTGTACATTTTCTTCTGAGCTTTTCATCCTTTGAAAATGCAGCTTAGCTTTAAGGTAAGAGAGTTCACTCTGTGATTCTGAGCCACACTCAGCGCGAGCTGCCGGAGCGTTGGTGGACTGTGCAGCGCAAGACCTGCGCACCTCAAAGCTTATAGGAGGTCATCTGCTCTGCCCCTTCACAGTTAATGCCCTCTGCATTAGTATTCATTGTAAGCGTCGACTTTTGCACCGAATCTTGGAGTCCACCCTTGAGCAGACCAAGTCCAGGGGGAACAGAAAGATGCTCTATTCTGAGCACGTGTCCACATAAGCTTTGGGGTGCATCCAGAGAGAGTTCCCGGGCGTTTGTAAGGTGTCTGAAAGTTTTCTAGCAAAATATTAAACTTCATTGTCTGCGTCTACACTCTTTGTTCACTTCAAGGGTTTTTTTTTTCCTCCCAAGGACTGAAGCCAGGCTTGTGCCAGTCAGCTTGTACAGTGAGTTATAGATGTGACACGTGCATATCGTGACTGCTTTTGGAGCAGAGGAAGAGTGTGGGGGAGCATGGCTTCTCTGTGGGTCTCGGTTGTGCTCGATTGTCAGACCTGCAGCACCCTCGCAGCCTGAGTGCCAGTTCCTGGCCACAGACCATGTGGACTTTTGCTTGCGAGGGTGCCTCCAGAGGTGCTGGCTGCCCGTACGTGCAGCCCAGGGCCTGGCACGTTCAGTCGGTCCTGGGCTTGCTCTACTGCAGGTGTGCTGCACCAGAGGCAGACAAGGCGGGTGGGCAGCGGCAGAACAAGCTCCAGACTAGTCAGTTGCCTTATAGGTGCTGTTTTGCTTTGCTTTGAATGAGGTGCACTGGTGACTACATCTCTCCATTGTGAAAGGGCACGGTAAACTCTATAGAGTTTGCTGGGGACACTAAGTGGAGTTTTATTATGAATCAGCTCAGCAATATTTAAATAAATTATTTTATAGTTACAAATTTTGCAGACATGATATCCTATTTACAAACACTATTACAACAAATTCCTCTATTCATAAAGAGAATGTAACTATATATCTATCCTAACCACTTTGAATACACAGATACAAAATGGACATTCATCTGTATCCCCTTTTTTTTGTTGTTGTTAAATTCCATTATTTGAATATTATAGGTGTGTTAACTCAGCAAAATATTCTAAAAGAGTCAGTAGTCCATAATAGTATTGGGTCTTCCGCTTCACTGGCAATGTCAGAAATTGTTGACCTGAGTCCCCTACAGCTCAACATAACACCATGGCTTTACTTCTTATACTTCATTTTT